CCGCGCCCGTGAGGATCAGCCGCAAGGGCAAGCGGGAGCGGGTGAACAACCGCTTCAACATGCCGACGCAAGAGGACCTGGTCTACGTCGACCCCAGCCCGGACTATTGCCTGCGCAATGAGACCACTGGTTCTCTGGGCACCCAGGGCCGACTGTGCAACAAGACCTCAGAGGGCATGGATGGGTGTGAGCTGATGTGCTGCGGACGGGGTTATGACCAGTTCAAGAGCGTCCAGGTGGAGCGTTGCCACTGCAAGTTCCATTGGTGCTGTTACGTCAAGTGTAAAAAGTGCACAGAGATCGTCGACCAGTATGTCTGTAAATGAAAGGAGCCACCAAAGCAAGAAATCTATATTATATAAATCTATATAAATATATTTTATATTTGTATAAATAAACAGATGATGATAATAATTAAAGAAGCTTATTTAAGAGACATTTTGGTTTTGAAATTTCCCCCATCAGGCCAGCTGGTATGCTGTTCCTTCAGTTCTGCTGGGGAGTTTGTCTGTGAGTGCATCTCCCCTTGGATGTTTCAGTCAGGGTGAAGAGGCTGAGGAGGTGCAGACAAAATGAACTCCCCCCTACCTACAAGCACGCTTTTTCATTACAGAAACGAAGCCGCAAGAATGAGAAAGGTGGGTTCTTTCTGCTCTGATCAGTAAGTCTCAGTGTTTTGCATAGTTACTGCACATCTGAAATTACAGCCAGATGTGCGTGAGTCCTAGTTACCCACGTTTCAAAGCCTGCCACTTCACTAAACCCACTGGGGAATTTGGAACCAGTTTTTGGTCCCTCTCGGGACTTTGTAACACAAGAGGGAAGGTTAGTCAAGGCCCTTTTCAAGCTGTAGAATACAGCTTAAAATCGTCAGTCCTGTAAACCATTCCTGGATGCTTCACAGACCACAGTATGGCGGAGGAAGGTTTGCAGCCTGCTGTTGCTAGAAAGGAAGGCGTGACCTGTGGCTGCCCAGCACCACAGCCTGAGAGTCCCCATGAACCCAGCATCTAGGTCTTCTGTACTGCCTGGGCCAAGGGGAAACCAGTCCAGCTCAGACTACATGGCTATGTGCATAAGGGAGATTTTTAATTATTTTCCTTTTAATCCTGTGCTGAAACTTAATTTGTCAATGTAGAGGAGAAGCTGCCAGTGCCCAGGAATGTTTGTGAAGGCAATGTACTTTGTATTTTGTCAGCAGAAAGAGGCATTGAATGCACATACATACACGACTGCATAAGCACTCCTCACGCTGCTGCCAGTTTTTTTTACTCTTTGAAGTGGATGCAGGTGGTCACCTTGTTCAGCTCTATTAAATCCTCCTCACCACCATCCCAGATGTATAGTTTCTCTTTAACATTAAACACCCCTCATTGACATTTCTTTCCCTCTGTTGCTTGTGTGGTTTTGTTTCGTTCTTTTGGTGAGGTATCTTACTTTGCTGCTCTGTATTTCAGCGTCAAGGGGCCATGCCCTTCCCTGGCATAAGGTAACCACAGGTACGTTTGCTCCCAGAATGTGGCTGTATGATCACCGATGGAAGTCTTTTCTGTGTTTTTCCTTGGTAATAAAAGAGCATAATAAAATTGTACTAGGGCAGAAGGCATTACCAAAGTCTGCTAATCAGTCTTACCACATTGGGATTTTAGTAGAATCTAATTCATAAAGCAGGGAACAAATGCTGTTTCTAGCACAAGACATTTCCTGTGCCTCTCAGCATCTGCAGAGTTCATTTGCAGTCAGAACAATCACGAGAAGCCAGTTCCCAAAATATAAGGGTTTGCTAATATACATCCCTTTTGTTTCTGACATTCCAAGGGTGTTAGGGTTTTTTTTTCTGTAAATTCTAAAATGCGCAAAATATGCCAATAAGCAAAGAGCCAGTCATGAAGATTATTATTTTTATATTAAAGCTCTGTTTCTTATAAAGCATTGCAGTTTTACAGATTCCACCATTTCAACCACCAGAGAAGAATTTATATGTACCTTTCATACTTCAAATATTTGAGGACTCCAGAAAAGCACAAGGAAGAAAAATTATGTTTAATAATTAGGAGCTGTTGTTTTTTTAAACCAATGTGTCCAGTTTTTATTTTATTTTTTTTAATCCAACAGGCAATATATTTGCTGGCATCCCAGAATGCAGTTTCTTGGAATATAAACAGTGGCCTAGATTTATTTTATTATATAAAATCCAAAGCCAGTGGTATTGTAATTCAAAGTAACGGAAATAGTTTTCCATGCATGGAAAAAATGTGAGTGCAATGGCCTGATCCAACTCCCATTAAACTTCAGTGGGAGCTGGACTGAGCCCAAGATCGGATCAAATGTGTGAGCTATTCACTCCTGGGATACTGTATGTTTCTAGCCCAGTAATAAAACTTGTTCTACCTTGGACACATCTAAAAAAGACCTTTCCTCCCACCACCCTCACCTCATGTTCTTGTCCATCCTTATTGCGTCAGTCTTTAAAGGTGTCAGCTATTTGTATATGACGCCCTCAGGCATTGTTAATATGTCTAGTAATTCAAAATGATTTCATTTGGCCTCTCAGATAAAGACCACACATTTAAGGGAGTCACAACTCTCCCCGCAGTTTGGCTCCATGATTGATTTTGTGGGTGTAAACAACTTTGGGAGCGGAAAAGTTGGCATTGTTAGGGCTACTATTCATCTGGGCGTCCCTGGATATGTTCTTCTTTTTCCACCTGAAATGTTGTCTGGATGGAAAAAAGATGATTTCTGGCCTTTCGTCCCAGCACTCTGGACCTCTGGCAGCCTGGTTGGAGCCAGCAGTTCCTATTGAACTGGGATTGTATAGTGATAGGAGAGAAGTGACCACTGGATTTCTCCTCCTTCTTCTCCCTTCATTTTTGTTTTTTTGTTTGTTTGTTTGTTTTTTTTTTTTCTTTACAAGACCTACAGTTTAGTCTTCTCAACTTTCTGGGAGTTCTGTATCCAAAAATTTGATCCCACTAAACTCTAGCTTAAAACTTAATTTCTGTGGCGCCCACACATAAAAGAACCTCCTTAGGGTGGTAGTAAGTATAAAATAAGAACACAGCCAGACTGGTTTGATGGAAAGCCAAAGAAAGTCAAACAGAAAAGCTGTAGCAGAACTGCTTCTTTACCATGGAAGTTAAAAAGTGGTGGATTTTGTGTTGTGCCTTGTTAGCTGCACAAAGCCATAGAGGGATGTGGGGGTGGGGAGCTAAGCTTGATTCTGAGCTCTGCTGATTATCTGCTTTGTAATTTCAACAAGTTACTTAATTTCTTCAAATTTTAGCCTCCAGCCGCCTCCCATATAAAATGAGGAGCAGAATACCTCCTTTTTTCTGTGAAGCTCGTTGAGAAATATGGCTGAGGAAAACGTAATTGAAGGCCTACCCTCTACGCTCATTAACTCCGGCAGGCGGACAGCTGTATCCCCATTGTGTGGGGACACGCTCGATTCAAGACAAAGAGGCTCAGTGGCACCTCTGAGGGTCAGATGCTTGGAGGTGGTTGCTGGGGGGCTCAGCAGGAGCCTCAGGGGGGCTGTTGTGGTGAAGCTGTACTCCAGCACAACGCTGGAGGCAAGACTGTTGTACAAAAGAGAGGTGAACTCGGGGCCTGTTTATTTATGGGTGTTGAATATCTTATAGCAAGAGTAATGTTTAGTGAGGTTGGCCTGGTTTCTGAATGAAAAACCTGCCTGCTCAGATTCTGTTTGCAGTTTCATATGGATAAGATATTCACACAATATGCTATTATATAGCGTACGCTGGTAACTGGCTGCCACATTCCAACCCTGAAGTCACTGCACTTCAAGGCTGATAGAAATGACCACCCGTAAGTCATGTAAAACTAAAATATTTTGGATTTAAAGGCACTATGCAAATATACAGTTATTGCAAGTCAGTGAACATCAGCTCCTAAACGGAGCAGAACAGGATGCAAATCTGTCATCATTTTCCAACTGGCTAGTACTACATAAGTTATAACGTGAATGAATGAGGCCTTAGTATGTTCTGCTGCAAGGTAAGCTGAGCAATAGCGATCGCAGAACCAACAGAAATTTTCATTTGGTATTAATTATGTTAAAAAGAGACTGGCAGGGTTGTGAGAAAATTTAAATGAACCTTTTAACACCACTGCATCATTTGCAGGCTCCTATTCTTTGTACCCAGAAAAGATTGTGACTACCCAGAGCTCAATGTAACAGAGACTGCTGCCTTTTGCAGTTCAGGAAACAGCCAAGTTGAACCCAGACACCCAGTGAGTGTGCCTTACACTTGCTACATGGACCCAAGTTTTGTAGCCTTGACAAAGCACAAAGCAGATCTTTTCCTGTCATGTAAAATCAAATGTGCAAGACACTCTCTCTGCTTGCTTGACCCCATCCAGGGAGAATCCTAGTAGGTTTAAATTATGCTGTGGGAGCAATTCCTAATCACCTGTGGCTACAGTATTTTCATCAGCTGACACATACACAGGACATCCCAAAAAGACCTTGGGAAATGCCTTCCAGTGACTAAAGAGCATTTCTCAAGTGCCTGTCAGAAGGCTTTCCAGAACCAGCTGCTCATAAGGTCATTCACTTTCATGTAGTTTTTGTTTTACTACATTTCAGGTTACATAGTTTCTAAAAGATACTCTATGAAATCAAATTCACTGAAGGGCAGGCTCTGAAGGAACTGTCATATGACAGTGAGCAGATGTGAACATGATGTTGGATCCCCTTCTCAAAGGCTGACTCTGGCTATGTCTAATCCATGGGACCCAGAGATGCATCCCATCTCCTTGGCCAAGATGTGTATCCTGGCCATGCCCTGACTCCCTTCCTGCCAGGGCAGTGTGGGCACCAATACCTTGTGTGCAAAGGCTGATGGATGCAGAGGCCATCAAGCGGGTAGCCTGTCAGATCTCTGGCTCTGGTGTAGATAGCTGGTAGATTTGGGACTGGGCCACATCGTGAGCATACCAGCACCGAAGTCTAAATATAACCAGCTTCAGAGATAAGCAATACAGATTTCCATGGCCAACAGAACAGATACCAGAAAGGACAAAAAGAATCATGATCAGCTGTGCAAATCCCCAAATAAGAGTAATAAAAAAACCCCAGTATTATACAGTGATCACAGCGTGCTCTTGCCTTCCATCCATCAATCTTTTCCTGCAGGGCCTGAAGCTGTTACTTGTTTCTTAGTTCCATTTAAATGACAGTTGAAGTCTTTTTTTGCATTAGGATTCAAAAAGGGATGACCCACTCAGAGAATTTCCTCGAAGAGAAAAAGAGGGAACAAACATTAGGGTCAGGAGTTCTCCATGTAAGCAGGGATAAAATGCAGCAGCCGTAACATGGAGTACTTGATACTGCCCTGTGGCACGCTGGCTACCTGCCTTAAGTGTCACAGTTAGCTCTCCATGCTGCCCGCCCAGTACAAGCCAG